AATTCAAAAAAATTTTTACTACTGGTTCTGTGGGCAGGCTTGTGGGCACAGGGGAAGGATACTGTAAAAATCTCCCTTTCTAACCCACTCCAGGGGAAGGCTAGTACAAAATCCCCATTTCCTTCTGATCAGCTGGGACTCCAGAGGCAGAGAATAGATGGGGGTAGGGCCAATCAGAGATGTGCCAATTCTCTGGACTACTCAAAATTTCAGCTGAATACTATCTCTGATCTGTAGGCATATCTCTATTTCTATAGAAAGAGAAAGACAATCTTTCTAGTCCTTGGATCTCCTCCTAGACTCCCAAAATTCATTAGTTTTTCTTCCAATATTTCTTCTTAGCTATTTATCAGTATCTAAGAGATATATAGTAACTCACTGAGACTTGATTACCAAAAGTTGAGTTCTAGGTGGATTGCTTATATGTAGGACACATTTATCTTATATTTATGACATTATTATTCATTATAACATATAGTACATATGTTTGATGTTAACAATCTCAGATAAATTTATACTTTATTTTATTATTGAAGTATATTGAAAGAAAGAGATGAAAGACAAAAGAGAAAAAAAAACACAAAGTCAAAATACATATTTTACAATATCTGAGCATTAAACCTTGATTAGATGGAATAATATAGATCAGCCTTTCCATTAGGTTGCTAAAGAGCCAGTTCATAAACAAAGAGTAAACATATGCCATTAATCCAAGATTGTTAATCTGGAGTGGCATTGTCCTTCCTTTGTAAAAAGAGTAATAGTTGTTCAGATAGTGATAATTTCCAAAATTTTGGTGTTCAAATTAACAACATGATAATTCAGCCCTATTCCATATTAAGTTACGGATATTAAATCAAATCGGGCAACAATAAGACAAGCCTACATTATATATATAAACATATTCCATTGCTTTTTCCTTTCAGAGAATGAGGTTGAGACTCGGAACAATTTCCTAGAAAACCGCACTTTCAAACCACTTCTTAACACTGCCAAGAAACCATGTGGACACAACCATGTAATCACAGAAGCAGAGTTCAACTCCAGGGAATCTTTACTTTTTTAAAATGTTATTAGCATTTTCCTCACTGTTCTAAGTAATCTTGAATCTGCCATGTGGAAAGAAACTGTTATGTTTCCATTATTTGTGCCACAGATTTCTTCTGAGCTCTTATTTAGTCTGCAGTGCTGGTCAAATTGCTTTCAATATCCACCCCACAGGGCAAAGTTTTTTCTGAGTGGCATGCAGAATTTTATTTTCAGTTAGTTACAAAGTTGACCAAGAATTTGTTTGCACAAAAGGGTAGTTGCACTGAAAATAAAATTTAAAAATGCTATTGGGAAAAGCTGTGTTTTGAAGCTGATAAATCAAAAATTGTATGTTTCAAAGAACAAAAGCATGCATCACATTTTAAAAATTGGCTGTGGGATTTCTGCATGTTGCAGACATAACCCACGATGCATTTATCCACATTTCAAAAATGAAATTTTGGACAGGAATATTGCTCTGTTAATCTTTCCAGCATGGAGTAATTCTTCCCAGGAAGCGTCTTCACAAGCATATGGCAACTGTGGGGCTGCAGAGTAATGAAGTGATAGAGATATGTAACATGGAAAGAGACAGAGAAACAGAAGTCTGGTTTGAGCGGAAAGTAAGTGGAAGGAATTTGCAGTGTTATTGCTTGAATATTTGGGACAGCTGGAAGAAGCAGCTAGAGCAGGAAATGGAAAAAGATGATGGCCATCCTGCCATCCTTTGGGCATTTGCATTCCTTGGCACAGGGAAAGTGCTAATCAGGGAAAACACAGAAAGGGAGAAACTTCTTGGCTTGATCCCTTTAACACAATATGGCTTTAAGCTCTGTGGACTTCAACTCCCAGAATTCCTTAGCCAGTATAGCTGGCTGGGGAATTCTGGGAGTTGAAGTCCACACAGCTTAAAGCCACCAATGCTGAGAGACACTGCTTTAACAAATAGCTATTAGTGCACAGGGTCCCTGTTGATGCAGTATCAGTGAGACCCTTCCAGCCTCTCAGTATGAAGCAGTACATGCCATGTGTCCCCCCCACCCCATGGCCTTTCCTTCTTGCCTGCCTACCGTAGATATACAAGGCGAAGTTGATGAGCTGTTCAGCTTAGTGTGAAATGTGTTACATTTTCCCCCCAGCTGCTTCCTGATTGCAGTATTTACTTTTAATCTCCTCTGCCTCAATGCCCGATAAAAACTTTGTCACATTAGATGGTGACAGATGGGAAAGAGAAGGGGGAGATCACTGCAAGAGAACGTCCTGCTTTCCCAATAATTTTTCACAACGCCAATTATGTCCTTCAGTGCTTCCCGGCATGTGCACCCATGTCAGCAGAGGAGGAAATAGAAAGGCATAAATAAAGACAAAACCAGGCACTGTGTGGCTTTAATCTGCAGAATAACATTTCTCATTGGGGTGAAATATGGTTGGATTTTCTCCCTGGATTGGCTTGTCTGTGATCTGGAAAACACCCAGTCTGGAAAGTACTATAATATCTCTATGGCATGATAAGTTCAAGAATATCTCTGGGATTTTTCCTGCAGTCTTTCTTATTTTACTTCTCCCAAGCCACAAGTCCAACTCTGATCCATTCCATAAGCCATGTTATTCCTTCTATGCAGGGGTGGGCTGCTATGGGTTTGCCCGGGTTTGGGAGAACCCATAGCTAACGTTATAGCCGGTTCGGAGAATCTTTAAATCCCACCCGTGGCTGGCCCTGCCCACCCCTCCCCTCCCCGGAGTCTCCACACAGCCCATTTTGGATGGGAGGTAAGTGCAGGGCCTGTGCGGAGGCTCAGGGAAGGGGGGGAAATGGGCCTCCTGGATGTTCTGGAGGTACTCGAGAGCCCAGTGGAGGCAGTTTTCGCCCTCCCAAAGGCTCAAGAAAAGTCTCTGAAGCCTGGGGAAGGCAAAAACGTCCCCACCACAGTGGTGTAGGAGGCCAACTGGGCCACGCCCACCATGGCCACACCCACCCAACAACTGGGCAGAGAACCCATTGCTGAAATTTTTGTAGCCCACCCCTGCTTCTATGTAAATTAAATATTCTTATTCTTTGCTGTGGTGGAGAGGAAGAGAGAAATGGCTCCTAAAAAAGCTCATTCAGATTTTTTAAAAACTGACTAGATCCTATTTATTGGGGAATTAGATTCAGCAGGTAAAGTGCTTTACATTTTCTCACCTTAAATACATGTGTGACATTGATTCAGTGGGAACTTCAGAGAAAGCGAGCTTAAGTCGCAGTCTTTATCTTTCTAGCTGTCAGAAATAGCTAAATTTGGGGAGCAGGGGGTCAACTGTGTTATAGTATTATATATAGATATGTATGTATTGTCTGTTCCCCTCATATGGGTATAATCTCTATTCAGGTATGCTTTAGAGAAAAGTCACTGCATTTTTACAATTGTTTATTATATATATGTGTGTGTGTGTGTGTGCGCGCACACACGTGCACTGGCGTGTGTGTGTGCGTGTGTGCGTGCATGTGTGTGTGCGCGCGCCATTAGCATATGTGGTGACAATAGCAATAGCACTTAGACTTATATATTGCTTCACAATATATATTGCTTCACAGTGCTTTACATCCCTCTCTAAGTGGTTTACAGAGTCAGCATTTTGCCCCCAACAATCTGAGTCCTCATTTTACCGACCTAAGAAAGGCTGAGTCAACCTTGAGTTGATCAGGATCGAACTGCTGGCAGTCAGCAGAATCAGCCTGAAATGCTGCATTCTAACCACTGCGCCACCACAGCTCTCTGAAGACAAATAATTTTAATGGTCCAATGAGTTTCCAAACTGTAAAGCAAGTGGTCTTGGCATTTGTCTCATTCCAATATGTTGATTCCCATTCTAGCCTGCTTCTTTCAGCAGAAGAGATGCTTAGCAACTTTACATAATTAGGTGACTGGTGATTTGCCTTAAGACATGGATTCCTTAAAATATAGTT